AAGCGTGTGTTTGGGGCGGCGTTGGGGGAGGCGGTGAAGATCCCGTGCTCTGTGACGGCCGAACCGCCGGACGTGGCCTTCCAGTGGACGGTCAACAACGCGGAACTGTTGGCCAGTTTCGCGTCGTTCGGTCTCGAGTCCACTCTGACGTTCACACCGAAGACCAAACGCGACTTTGGTGTCATCGCCTGTCGGGCGAAGAACTCGGTGGGCGTACAGCGCGACCCCTGCGTGTTCTCCATCATCTCCGCGGGTCTGCCCTCACCGGTCACCGGGTGTTTGGTCGTCAACCAGACCTCCACCTCAATACTCATCGACTGCATTAGCGGCGATGACGGCGGTCTGGAACAGGAGTTCCATCTGGAACTGTACGAGTCGGCCGATCACCGGCTTGTGGCCAATCGGTCGGTCAAACATAGGGCAGAGTTTCGACTCCAGGACCTGAGCTCCGGCACACAGTATTTGGCGCTCGTATACGCGTCCAATGGTAAGGGCCGGAGCGCACCCATTGAGCTGACCGTGCCTACGCTTGCCTTGCTCAATCGCAAATTTGGTACATTATTATTGATATTATGGTTAATTTTTGTTTATTGTATTGACATGTTTTTTTGTCGTGTTTCCAGTGGCGGACAGCCCGCACACGGAGGATATCTCGCTAGTGTTGGCCGTTGTATTAGGGCTGGGATTAGTGGCAATACTGGTGCTCATGATATCTGTCATAATATGCAGAATAAGGACAAAGAATCGCCGGAAAGAGGCGGCGGAGGACCGCCAGCGACGAGACAATGCCGCCGATGGACGCAGATTAAACATTAAGTAATTGATCCATCAATATATGCGCTCATGTTATGCGATGTCTAACGCAAACAAACCTTGTTTTTATACTTCTCGCTAATCATTGATTGTATGGGAATTGTTGTCTGTTTACCACATCATCAGTGGTGACATATTTGCTGACCACTCATCCAAAGAGGATTTGGCAGAAATGCTGGACACCGGCGGCGATCGTAAGAATCCGGATGTAATTCCGCCGATCGATGGCTACTCTGTGAACCTTATGCCCGATAAAGAGGGGTCGGGAGGCGGCGGCGGAGGGGGTGTTGTCACTCACGACGACAATGGGCTGGCATTTCACCAACAAATACAAGCCATTAATAGCATTAGCAGTAATCATAGGCTTTCAATGAACACCCAATCGATCGGCAATTATGTGAGTATTTAGTCGTTTTTTGCTGTAATTTTCTCGACTTAAACTTGTATTTGATATGAAAATCGCTTGTAATGAATACACTATTGAATTATCGATAATTTGATTTGAAATACAACGAAAAATAACAACGAAATGCATTTATAGTGAACTCATTTATAGTGACTTAAGAATATTCCGGGAAAATAGTTTTCACAATTAATTTACTTTTTCTCTATAATAGAAATTATTGATTTGTTAATGTATTTACAATGTAATGCTTTATCATATATTTTATTTTTTACCATTTTCAATCAAACGCCAATTAGCCGGACAAACAGACAGCTATATTTCCGGGCGCCGATCAGCTCCTGTGCATTACACTAACGCCAGACCCTATCGTCAACTTTATTAATGTAATTATAATCCGATTGTCTTTTAATTTAGTTATAAATTGATTGATTGTTTTGGGTATTCAATGTATTTATAAAATAACTAATTTCTGTTTTAATTTACCGTATATTATAGTCGACACAAACACAGACACCGCCGCCGAGTAGTGACGACACCTCAAAGACATTGCACCGGCAGAGAGTGTTCCCACTGTCGACACCCGTTTGATACCAATATACAACCCCAACCATATTTAATACCTGTATTTTGTGATATAATATACAAATATAGCCGCAAACTAAGCGCCAAATATTTACATAATATTTAATAATTATTGCATTAATTCATATAATAATAATAACTCAAGAATTGATGAGTGCCTTAAGGTATCGCTGAAGACGTTTGGATAAGTCTACGCGAAATGCAATCAAAATTATTATTGCAAACCATATGTAATCGCAATGAGAAGTACCGGTATATGACTGGATGTGCGACCCGTACGACATGTTTGGCCACATCTATATTATATTGATTGTGAAATAAGAGTCTTATGTATAGAGAAAATCATTTTTGAGGGTTATTTTAGAGCACAACACATGTATATTATGTAATAATAATTATGATTATTATATTGTATTTAAAGAGAGTTATCGATTGTATTTAATATAATGTTTAATTCTGTATATTATGTAAAATCGCTTTTTATTATAAATAATACGCTTTTATTTATAAATGTATTTATAAAATAATTCAATAATTACTATTTACTTATAATAATTGTTAATAAATTAATAAAATCCATCTAGTACTTAATTTGATAATTTAATAGATCGCTAATTGATTATAAACTATCTCACAATTTGTTATATGGTTAATAAAATTAACATACAAATTAATTGAACATGTTTAACGAATGGTGTTCTTTTTATCGAGTTAATATTGTCAATTAAATTTTTATGGGGTATTAATTCATTATCAATAATAATCTAAATGGCATGGCCAAATAAATAGTATACTGTAAAGTATATTGTGATTCCAATTAATGATTATTACTAAAAATGATCATAATCAACCATTTCAAATTCAATCATCAAATATTATACTAATTAATAAGTAAATTCAGTGATTAATTATACAATTTTTATTCAATTATAATTAATTTACAAATAGAAATATAAATTAAATAATATGTGAAACAAATAATCACATAAACAGAAAACAATAGATATTGTAAGCAATGAATAACTTGAAAGAGACTTCACGTCGATTTGAGAATAGTTATCAAAAAAATGTATCACAAAAAAACAATAGTATCAATAGATAATTAAAATACATATTAATATGCGTTTGAGAAGACATTAATGTCGAGATTTATAGAAAATAATAGATATTTTCATTACTAACTAACCATATATTTAACACTTCAATCAATTCTTTAATTTTATTAATAAATTATATTTATATTTCGATAAACTATTTATATATTTATATAATAGAAAATACACTTTCATTACCAATGAATTTAACTCAATGTTTAAATTCAGTTTTTGTTTCAAAAGTTTACGTTTTGTTTTGTATTGAAAGAAAACCTATTTATATATGTTTTAAAAATACTAATCATTAATACAAACAAAACAAGATTTTTAATAAAGAAAAAACAATTGCGAAAATGAATTGAAAATATCATATATTTTGCGATTACTATCCGATAAAGCAATTGAGGAAAAAACTAAACACAAAAACTATTTGATTGTATCGTAAAAAACAAATCTAATGAAGAGTCAGATAAAGAGTGGTGTAAATCAATAAATCGGATGACTTTGCGATTGGGCACTAAACCTAGTGTTCAGGGCTGGGGGTCAGCCATGTGTTGGTCAGAGCTATGGCTACCGGTGTCACTGTCGCTATCGGTGTCCTCTTCGTACTCATCGAGCTCTCCCTCCTCATCGTTCATCATATTAATCACTTCATCCCAATTCGGTTCATTCGCTTTGGGCTCCCGCGGGGCCGACTCTCCCATCTCTACGGCCTTCTTCTTCTTCTTCAGGTAGGGCTCCATCAGCTCATCGACGGGCGAGTCGTCGGCCGGTCGGCGCACCGGCGAGTCGACCGTCAAATCAATCAATTCCGGTGTAGACGACGGGCCGCCCGCTGTCGAGGCGGCTGCGGCGGCGGTGGACGCGGATGCGACGCAACCATTGGTGAGCACAGAGGCGGCGCCGGGAGAAGAGAGCGCGGCGCCGGATGGCCGGACATCGCCGATCTGGTAGTGGGCCTTCAACTTCAACAACTTCGCCAACAGATCCTTGTATTGAAAGTTGGGCGGTCTCTGGTGGTCGCGGAACGGGTCGGTCATCGGCTGGCCGTCCATCGACTGTCGCTCGCGAATCGTGTCCTCGAAGTAGTGGTAGTTCTGTTTGAAGGTCGATATCATAACGTTGCGCAACGCTGGGGGCATATTGCGGGCGTCGGCCCCGCCCTCCGTCAGCATATCGATGACCGCCACCCGTAGTGTCTCGTGTCCTATGATATCGTTATAGTTGCGGACGGCGTCGCCCACATTGCGGCCGCCGAGCGACTCAAACACCTTGAATTTGCCCCCTTTGCCACCGATTTTGGTCTCCTCATAGCCGGGCTCGTTGTGGTACGGCTTCTCATTCATCAGCGATTGTATGGACAACAGTGTCGTGAACAGTGTGTTACACGCCGTCCACGCGGGCCCTGAAATGGTCATCATTTTGTCAATTAGTCAAATTATCATTGATTTGTATTGTGTGGACAGGTGTGGACAGTCCGTCCATCACTTACCAGACCACGTGCCCAAAATACTGAGACACACTTTGCCACAGGCGTACAGATTGGGATTGAACCGCACTCTACCGGCGCCGGTGGTCATCAGTTTAACGGACGGCGGCTTCAGGGGGTAGTCCTTCGGGAATCTAATCAAACAAAAACACAAAACAACAATCAAATCGCGTGTTAATCAATGCAACAGAAAGAGCGCAACATTGAGGGGCGCGAGCAGAGGGTTGGGGGCGTCAATGACAGCCCACACCCGGGTGTGTGTCCAGTGGACAGTTAAGGGAAGGGTAAGGGTATCAATGAAATGAAGGGATCAATTACTTGAGAACAAAGTAGAAGAAGCCGTTCTCGTAGGGAGTCTTCTCGGGGCCGATGAGAAGGGCGTGAACGCGTGTCAGGTCGTCCTCTTCGGCCACGGCGTACATCTGATGGGAGTCTTCGCGATAGAACTCACGGATGTCTTTCATAATCCGCATGATATGTGTCTCGTTATTCTTGGACGCCATCGCCAGAGAGACACACGTCTAGTGGATGTGGTGTCGACACCGATTCAAACACGTGCTCACAGACTGCCTGTCGGTGTCGACAACTGTGTGCCCACACAACTACTGTCCACTAAAACGACGGCGAAGAGGGGGCGGAGGGGACGGGAGGTGTGACGGGTGTCACAACCAATTGGTGTCACAAACACGTGAAGTAAACTGTAAAATGAAATGAAAATTAGTCATCAAAATCAAACACACGTTGTTTGCCATTAGAGGTTAGGGTTGAGTGGATTATAATGTGATCATTAAACTCATAATTACTGCTCTGATTGTAATTGTAATAAAACTTTTAATTAGTTATAAAACACAAAACTAACGTTAAATTAACGGAAAATAACGATTAAAAAGTGATTTTAAAAATTCAAAACTATGCCATTTTGACCCGGTTTGCACGCCCTTGGTCATTGATAATGACCATGGTCGTGTGGAGGGGTGTGTGGGGGCGAACATACCTGTGCTAACGGTTAGTGTGCGGGCAATGGGTTTGCGATATACAGACAACTGGTTTAATGAACAGCCGTTTTGTTGACAACAATAATAACATTTGGATTCAAACCAACAATAAATCAGTTGCTAAACAGTGATGAAACTCACGGGCCGTTCACTAATTACGTGCACTTTT